CTTACTAGTTGATTGCCAAAGTTGTCACAAGTCTCATATGAAAGGAAGGTATTAGTGCATTACTTACCACTTGACAAACCAAGCTCGCAGAGGAACCAAAAAAGAGGGAAGGGGATGGGGACCGATGTGTAATCAATAATATACATTGATTATATGATGTGCGATGTATGTTAAATTTCATGTTTCCCCGATTTGCCCCTCTATTCTACGTCTTGTGGTAGTGCCACCTACACCAAATCAAGTTTTAATGAGGTTTAATTGTGTTTCAAGGATGTTTCCCTAAAGTTTGAATGAGGTTCCATTGTTATTTTTTTATGAAGGATGTTTTTATTGACTTACAATGTTGCATCAAGTAGAATGAGCACACACCCGATCTTTGCATAATTAGCATGCACACAACCAACACATAAAGAAAGGGGAAAAACTCAACCTCCAAAAGCTTCGTCGAAGCAAAGCACCAATAACATACGTGTATAAGGCAAATCCTTATGAATCTATCTGTAAGTGCAACATTATCACATCCGGACTGTGAGAAAGTGCTTCAACAACGATGTCTTCAAGAAGAGAACTATTTGCGGCGCTACTATCATCAGATCTACTCACAGAGGCTAGATGTTGGGTTTTCACCCTAAAGAGGAATCACTAGCAAACTCTAGACACTACCTCCAACAAGGGAATGTTGTGGAACACTACCATTGCTAGGTTCAACCAGTTCACCTGAGTTTTCACTCCAGAGCTCGAGAACATGTACTTAGAGAGCATCACCAAACTTAAATCACCATGTACTACAACCCCCATTTTGAATGAAGGAGTCGCTATTGTAAGCCAGATCATCACACCTTGACGGTTGTACAGGTACACACTCTGATGTGGAATCACTGACAAGCCCGCACATATAAGGAGCAGATCAGGGCTTGTCCGACAGCATCAACAGGTCATCGTTGCAAGGAAGGGGCCATCTGACAACCCCAAGTGTTCGACGATGATTGATATGATTCATCTAATATTAGTATATGTCAGTAAAGGTTCTGCTGAAATTAAGAAACAGAAACATACGCTGTATTGGCTAACCATGGTTGTCCTTCTGAGTTCTGACTAACCAAGACAACCATCAGAGACCAGACATTATTTACAAAATTGGGAGTAGCTATTTTTGCTTAGAAAATTAATACAATTTTCCCCATGAGGCTTACTAGTTGATTGCCACAGTTGTCCGCAGTCTCATATGAAAGGAAGGTATTAGTACATTACTTACAGCTTGACAAACCAAGCTCAGAGGAACCGAAAAAATAAGGGGGACGGGGTTGGGGCATAAAGAACCAATTTGTAAAAATAACAAGCATGGATTCCAGGTTGTGCTGCGTATATAAGTTTCGTGTTTTCCTAATTTTGCTCTCTATTCTTCATCTTGCGGCGGTGCCGCCTCTGCGGCCGGTTGCTCTTCGGCTGCCGCCACCAAATCGGGCAACACCTCCTGCGAGGGGCTCTTCTTCTTCATGTGGCTGTAGCTTCCTTTCTCCATGAAGAGTTGCTGGAAATGGATCTTGCAGTACAAGACACCGTTGAGGGCGGCGTAGGAGGAGGTGGTTAGGATGCAGCCCCCGTGGGAGCACTTGAAGCAGCTCTTGTGGTATGCGTCGCCCTCCAGAGTCATCTGAATGGCACGATCAGTCGTCAAGTTGAGCAGTGTGATTGCAATCTGACATCCTAACCGAAGAATGAAATCAATGTTTATCAAACCATCTCATATTTTTTCTGTACCTTTTCGAGTGGATACACTGTTTTCGTGCAGGCTGCACACTTATCCTGAGTACCGGAGAAGGCAGCGGATAGCTTGCTTGGGACCCTTGACTGTAGTCAGGGGCATTCGGATTTGCATTGCAGAGACATATATCCAGTTAGCACAGCTTGCATTACGAAAGAAAAGGAACGCTAAACACGATAAGCTTGGCTCATGCATGAAGACTAGGTTTGTGGGGCTGGGCTGTACGTACCAGTTCATTCTTGTCGCCAGATTTGTTACCTGCGTCACACAACAGAACTCTCAGGATATATATCCTAATTACGTTAACCATATGTACGTTGTGAATTGTACATTACCCGGTGTGAACTTCTTTGAGAAGCTCCCTGTCTCCTTGAAGAGCTGCTCGAAGTGCGTCTTGCAGTAGAGGACACCGTCCATGGAAGAATAGCTGCACATCTAGAGGCCATGCACCAACGCATACAATTTACAAGGCTGTTATACATGCTCGATCTCAGTCGTTCAAGGAAGTGCATGCACATATGCACGATGCATGAATGCATGGAGGATTGATTGTATCAGAAGATGTAATCAAGGAACGTACGTACCGAGAGGATCCCTTTGCAGTGGCTGCATTTGAAGCAGGTCTTGTGGTAGATGACGCCGTCCGCCGTGAGGAGGTCGATGAAATGGACCGTCTTTTCGCACGCAAAGCACTTGTCCTGCGTGCCGGTGAAAGACATGTTGTCGGTGACGTACGACGACGACGGCGACGCCGGCCTGGCACGTACGTAGCACTGCGCGCGCGCCTAGCCTCTCCTTATTTCCAATCGCTTCCTCTCCGACGGGGCGATAGGTAAAATAGCTATGGAGGAAGCGCCGGAGCGATGGCTACGGGGCACGGAACGAGGGTTCCGGAGCGAACATAGGGGCCGGGCGGCCTCTGCGCCGCTCAGACTTCGTCCAAGCATGCATGCGAAAGCTTGATTTAGGAGGAGAGGATGCCATGGTGGTGACTGTCTCGTTTCACCCTCATCACGTTGATTATCCTGCCTCCTTACCCTACAAAGAACTTATACTGCCTCGTACTACCTTTTTCTAGAACAAGAAAGGCCTTGTACTTCCTGTTTGTTTTTCTGGGGAATGCATACTTTATTCATCAAATAACAGTTACATCCTCCGCTAACAATTTCATGATAAAGTTTGGAGGAGTGTCATCCCAAACAAAAGGGTTATTCGCCCGTCCCCATCTAGCTAACTCATGAGCTACATAATTCAACTCTGTAATACAATGCTCAATATTAACTTTCCCAAAGTCTACTAAGATAGTACAACAATCTTCTAGCACCGGCGTTGCCACCATGGAATGTCCTTCATTTTGATTAAGAGCATCCACCATCGTAATATTGTCCATTCTCACCATAAAACTAGAGCATCCAGTATTATGAGCTAACTTGAGCCCCCGAGTAGCGCCATTGCCTCGGCTGAGACGGCATCAGCTACATGTTCCAACCTTGCCGCTGAACCTCTTATGAAAGTTCCCCTGTGATCACGGATAACTGCTCCACATGCACTGATATACTCGCCCTCAGAAAAAGATGCATCGACATTCAACACCTGTTGTCCTGCTTGGAAAACCGACCAGTTATTATTGATTTTTGGAATGACCTTGCTTGTCCATGTTGCACGGGCATAGTTAAGGGCCAACCCAATAACAGCAGAAGCTATTCTTTCTGCAGTTTGTACATCCTCACGTCTGACTAGCTGCCTTCTTTGCTATAAAAGATACTACCAACAAACCGTTACTACAAGTTCTGGTAATTCGACCGGTCCAGTGTATGTTCGCTGATACAATATAAACTCCAGCATAGCTGCTCCAGACCTATTAGTCATAGTGGCAAAAGAAACATCCGCTAAATCCCAAGCGAGTACCAAACTTTCTTTAACCTGACAAATTGGGCACTGTGATATATTTCCCATGACGATTTGCTAGTACACTAGAGCATGGGATGGAATTATGCAAGCGTCGCCATAAGAAATTTTTGATTCTTGCCGATACCTTTCAATTCCACAGTTTCTTCCATACCGTATTTGTACTGCCTTTTTGTTACTCCTTTCTTGGTAGATGCTTGTATATCGCGAAGACTGTATCTCCCTTATATAGAGACTATAGCGCCCGTCTCACCTGAAGGACTATCCCATATTGGGCCGGCCAATTTTTCGTCGTTTTTTTCATTCGTTGGGTTTTGGTGGAGACACTTGTTCTTTTGTTCAGTCGCTGTACTAGTTTTGGCTCGTTTTTTTAGGGTTTTTCGTTCCTTTCTTTCTTTCTTTTTTGCTTTCTTTCTGGTTTTCTTTGTTTCCTCGCTTGTTTCTCCGGCTTTTCTGTTTTCTTTGCTTTTTCACCGGGTTTTTTCATTTCTTTCTCGGTTGCATTGGTTTTATTATTTTCATTATTTTTCTATGTTTTCACTGGTTTTCTTCGTTTTTTCTTGGTCTTCACTGCATTTTCCATTTTTTTTCTTTTTTCTTTGATTTTATTTTTGTTTCTACTGTCGGTTTTTAATTTTTTAACACAAATCAACTTTTTTTAGTACACCATCCACATTCTTTGTGTAGATGTGAAACTTTTCTTGATACACGTTAAATATGTTTTAAATACACGATGAACGTTTTCCTTTTAATATGTGGTTTAAAAAAAGAATACATGGTCAACACTTTAAAAATACACATTGAATATTTTTTAATGGAGATAAACATTCTTCTAAACTATGCACACTTTTTTAACACCACAAATATCTTCTAAATTTCATGGAAATTTTTCGAAAACATGTGAATAAATATTTAAATTGACACACACCTTTTTTAATTACAGTAAATATTTTTTAACCTACATGAGGATTCTTTTACATTGCATAAACATTTTACCCCTAAATAAATAAACATTTTCTGTATACGTAGAATGATTATTCAAAAACATGATTACCATTTTTTCAGACATATATTTTGATGTCAATTTATTTACATAAACATTATATATATTATGTATACACCGGGAACATATTTCGTACATGTGTTTAGCATTTTTTAAATCACATGATTATAGTTTTTTTAAACATATTTTTATGCCTATTTTATCCATATAAATTTTACATTTTTTGTACAAATCAGGAACGTTTTTTATATACATGTTTAACATTTTACAAATACAAGGATAATTTTTTAATATTATATTTTTTTTGATGTCTACGTTTTTTCATACTCTTCGTACATTTTTTGTATACATCAGAAACATTTTAGTTCAGTTTTTAACATTTTTTAACACAATAATATTATATATATATATATATATATATATATATATATATATATATATATATATATTCGTCACCCTGGGTGAGGAATAGTTATTCTTCACCCCCTCTATTTTACCATCAATGCACCGTAATTTTACGTTCCGTAAGTTTTGTCTTATTTCCGACGCAAAAAGGAACCGTAAAAAAATATATAATCGCCGTAAAAATATTTTATGTTATATAAAATTACAAAAATAAAAACATAGTCTAAAATGCACATAAACTGCAAATTTTCTTGTCTTATGACCTATATTTTTTATTTTCTTATGTCAAAATTTACGTAGTGAATCAATAAAAATGTTACTATGTAAAATCCAAAC